AATTAAAAACAAGAGAAAAATAAAATCATATAAATAAAATAAGACTAAATTATGATCACTAAGTTCCATAACACAAAAAGGAAATTAATATTGAGGTGTTTGATAATTTGTTCAATAACAACACCTGTCTGGACTAATGTTGACTTTTCAAGAGAAATACTCTAAACACTATAGTTAATTATATAGCAAACATATAACCTTTGCTATATAATTAACCAGGCTTTGGTTTTTGGCTGAGATTATTAAAATGCACACATTAGAAGAAAGTATCCATACATTCATCTGTCATTAAAACAATTAAATATTGTCTCTGTATATATAGATACAGAGTTTATTTTCTGTCTTTCTCAGAAATTGTACTCTAATGTTTCTATTAATATTAATATTCTATTAATATTTTGTTCCTGGCAACCAACTAAAAGTTTTTAAAACAAGAGATTATGTCCTTCATAATTCAGGTTTTGTGCATGGTCTATTAGGGTTGTCTACTTTTATTAATAAAATAATGGAAATTATACATTCATAATTAAATAACTAAAATTTATATCTGAATTAGAATTATGTAGTTTCTATTAACAGAGTTCACACTCAGTGTAAATCTAAAATGGTTCTGTAGATTAATTTGGGAGAGGGGGTATCATATAGGAATATAAAAGCTTACCATTTTTAGGAAGACAGCCTTCTGGGTAATTTCCGTTTCTGCATATTTAAATCCTGGTGATCCAAAAGGGAGTCTTTTGTCTTTATAAATGTAAACTTTAATGTTTCTTTTCCTTTATGAGCACCCAAGAGCACCTATTTCAAATGCTCCAGAGCTGCTTGTGACGAAATGCTTCATTTCCCACTTGTATTTTCAGCCATAGATACAGTAGCGTTAAATTCAAGGATCTAAGATAGCACTTTAAGGAAGAGATGCAGAGATCCTGGAACTAATTTAAATGAAATTCTGAATATAAACCAGCCCCTTTCCCTGCTTTGCTCTCCAAGCACTTGAGAGAGTCAATTTTGCTGGAAAGCTGACCTCTTCTCCTGTCATTCTTTGAAGCAGGAATAGAACAAAATGCAAGCAGTAAACATTTGCTTGCTGCAAGTAAATATAGGTATGAACACCATCCATGTTACAATTGCATCCTGTGTCATTTTTATCTCTCTGTGTAGTTTCCAGTACAGAGATGCTTGAAGGATTATTGTCTTCAGCCTTTCCAACTCTTGGTTCTTTAGCTTTATTAAGCCTAGAAGACAAAGCTTTCCACTGGAGTATGCCAGCCATTTTAGCTAGTTAGTAACAATATGCAAGTTTGTACCACGTTTTATAAAATATTGTGCTGCACTGGTCCTTTGACAATATATGCATAATCTGTTAAAAATGACTCATTGAGAAACTAAAAGATATGAAAGCAGAACATCAATTTTTAGAAAGATCATTTGAACAATGTGATTTGACTTATTAATAGGGCATGATGAATAGGCTGTGTTTTGGAACTACACAATTTGTCCACAGAATTCAGTCTGATGTATAAGATCCGTTTTGGAAATATAAGTCCACAGAAGCACAGCACCAATCATATCATTGAGAATTCTGGAACTGTAGTTTTAATATGTCAGGCACAAATTGAGGAAAACTCTAAAAGTGGTTTAGATAAGTTTAAAATTTTAGTTTCTCAACATTTTTTAGCTGATCCAAGTACATAGTAATATTTTTTAAAAAAAGATGTGTATTAATGGTAGCAAATTGCTTGCTATTTAAAATAAGAAGTGATAGAGTATAATTAACAGTGGTGGTCCAATAGAGGAAAAAGTCCCCAAATCATTGAGTATAACTGTAAATATACACAAAAAAAGACACAAAGTAATGACCAAACTTTCCGCTTCTTCCATAATTTTCTGTAGGCTGCTGATTAAGTAGAACTAGACTGGAAAGGGGAAAAATTGCTGACACTGGGAGTCCAAAAGTCTGGAGTGTGTGAGAGATTTAAGATGGAATTCAGGCTATGTAGACAGACTTAATCAGTCTCTGCTCCTTTGAAATTTCAGCTGCTCCTGAGTATTTTTCCACCCAGTTTTTAGTGTAACTAGGAAATATTAAATTTAGAGGAGTTGGCATCTGTCTGCAAAATATCTTCCTGTAACAATAACCATGTTAATTTGCAACATTTCTGGGCTTATATATTTAGGAGACGAAAACATCTAATGTTGAATAAATGGAAGGACAATTTTGTAGGTAGGATGTGACAACCTTAAGAAAAAGATGTACTATTTCATTGAGAAATGGCAAAGACATCACACTATCTTAAAAACAGAAAAAACAAAAAGTAGGATTACTCATCTGTTTAATTGTTGATTCATCTTTGTGAATATTCCTTACATTACACATAGCAATAGAAATAGCATTTTTGACTTATATACTGCCCCATGTCACTTTAGAACACTCTCTGAGCACAGTTTACATTATATGTGTATATATAAATCAATTAAAGATTGGATGACTTTTTTGTAGTATAAATCATGTACATAAAGAGGAGCTTAGATCACATATCATTTGAAGCATTAGCATTGTAAAAAAAGGTTTATGATTGTGTGTGTGTGTGTGTGTGTGTGTATGTGTGTATAAAATGTTCAGATATAAAGCTAAATATTGATATCTACAATCAGTTTGGGCAACTCAGAATAGAGTCCTATGCATATTCAGATATATAAGATGATGTTAGATCCTGAAACAGGGTACACTGTGTTTACTGTAAAAAATGAAATAGGATGTCATTATACAGTTATATTTTGTTATATATACATGTCTCCATGGCCTTGTCTTTCAAGCACAAGATGCCATGTTGATCAGTGTCTAAATTGTGAAATTGCCTGCAACCCCCATGTTCATCACTTTTGAATTCCAAGGTGAAGAAAGCACAACAATAATTCTAGTAACTAGTGCAATAGGCAACTACAGTTTATTAGAAGCCATTTAATGGTCTATTATATGCTCATTTCTGCCAAAGTATAAGCTACTTCATCGTATTCATGGAGTATTATTTTTCTATTGTGTTATGTATACAGTATTAGATTGAGAGCCAACACAGGCTGCTGTGTTTTGTTAAATCACTATAAGCAATTGGGATTTCTTACTAATTAATTAATTAAGAACAGAAATTTAGACCAGAGATTTGTTTTAAAGCAAGACTAAGTGTATTGTGATGGTTCTGTAGTAGTGGTCATTTTCACCAAATATATTTACATATTACTAAGGCTCAATGGTTAAAGATACTGTCAGCTGGAAAACTGACAGCCTGGGTTCGAGACTCGAGCACAGCGTGATGGGGTGAGCTCCCATTCCCTGCCCCAGCTCCTGCCAGCTTAGCAGTTCAAAAGCACACAAATGTGAGTAGGAAAATAGTACCAGTTCAGTGGGAAGGTATCCGTGCTCAATAATGTATAGTTATTCTGGCCACATGACTATGGAAGTGTCTTTGGGCAACATTGGCTTTCCCCGGGTAAGAAACAGAGATGAGCACTGCCCCTTGGAGTCGGACACAACTGGACAGGAAAAACTTTTACTTTACCTTTAAGGGATCTCTATTGCTTCTCTGAGCAATTGTGGCAATTCCAGGATGAAAGAGTAGAGCTTACTTTATGTGCTTTCCTGCCTGGTGGGGAGATAAGCAACTGACAGGTGGTGCATTGTTCTTAAAATTTGGTCATAGAAGCTATTCATCTCCTTTTAGAGTTCTTGAGCGAGTATGTACAAGTGCTTACAGGAGGAGAGGCTATTTATTATTTGGCTTTGGATATGTGTCCCTTTCCATTTTCTCAACCTGCCAAGTCAGGATCTATGCAGACATGTTAAAGTTAGCAATTAGATTTTCTTGGCAAGCTACAAGCTATAGAAGTTTCCTCAGTTACAGTATGCAATAACTATTTTGATCAGTAGTTGACTCAGCATATGAACAGAGCAGTGCAAATGTCTTTCAGTGCTTGGGAAAGAATACTGCAATCTATTAAAAATGTCTAGGATGTTAGAATCTAATAAACTTGAATTTGTTTTATTATTTGTAATAGTGCAAAGAATGTAAGCAGGTCAACAAAGAAGACAGCTGCCACAATGTATTGTTTCCAATGTGATTTAAAACAAATGTCTCTATTTGGGCACTTGGAAAAAAGAGAGTGGGTTTTTTTTTTTAAATATAAACACAACCTTCCTTTTTGTTTCTGACTTGTAAATATTTTGCTGTCCTTTTTACAGGTTGTCCTCAACTTACGACCAGTTGTTTAATACTGGTGAAGTTATGACAGCCTCAGAAAGGGTACTTTACGACCTGCAAACCGCACCATTGTTAAATGTTGCACCACACCCCAGGTCACATGACTGCATTATAGGCACTTAGAAACTGACCCACATAATTGTAGCATCTCCTGGTCTCGTAATTGTGCTTTGTGACAATTTTTTTGCCAGGTTACAGCAAAGCGTTCATTCGGGAGAATGGATTACAATTTAAAACTGCATGATTTGCTTAATGACTACTGTAAAACAACCATAAAATTGATTCCAGTTATGTAGGTGCCTTGATCTATGACTACCACAACTTATGATTGGAAATTTGGTCCCACTTATGATTATAAGTCAAGGACTACCTGTATTTACTAATCTACATCTTGTACAAAACAGAATTTCTCCTGTATCCCATAAACATGCTAATTCTACCTTCCATATCCTTTCAGTTTTTCCTCTAACTGCTCCCATTCCCTTGTTTTCAACATTCCTTTAGTCCTGAAGCGTATAAGTATTGTGTCAAGCATTGCTGGCTTATTTTTTAAAAAGTTTTTCTTCTCTTGTAAACATTTACATTTTTACTTCAAGAAATTTGTTAAAAGTACTGTCTTTTAAGACTCTTAGTAGTTTATTTCTCTCCCATATTAATAATTACTTAATCAAGTTGCCAAGTTCAACTCAGAGCTTGCTAGAACAATAGAATGCTGAATGTGTTTTTGAAATGTGCTTTTGTCTTTAGCTCTTTCAGATAATGAGGAAGAATGTGCTAATACAAGTGAAACAATTCAGCAGACTTCAAGTTCAACTCTTGTTTCTTCAAAGAAAAGGAAAAAGGTTGGTTGATTTTATTTTCACTAATAGAAGACAATCTACTGCACAGTGAAAAACATTTAATGAAGTCATTGTTTTCTGAATGGAAAGTATACCATTCAAATGCCTGAATATCTCAGTTTAAGGTTCAAGGGGTATGTTAGAAAGTTACATAAGACCCATGCAGCAAGTAACCCATTACCTCTGTCAGACACTGAGCAAGGACTCTTAAGTATTGCATAATTTAACTAAGGATCTGTTTCCATGTGGAAAGTGTCCAGGCATATCATTCTTTCTGAATACATGGACATGAAAAGTGTGCTTGCAAGGTATATTTGAAGGAAGGACCTGTGTACTTCCAGGTACACAGAGACTATTTGAGACTTTTTCAGTGCATGAAAGATTATCTGACCATCTTACCCAAATGACTGTTGATAAATGCAGAAAAGTGATCTACCTTATTATGAGTTCTAATATTTGTGAAATAATTACGCATTATAATACAAATATCAGCTTTATTCTACTTTGCATTATGGTTAAGTTATAGACAAGACAGTAAGCAAAATTCAAGATCCATATTAAAACAATATCTCTTTTAGGCTAGATCAAGATGAACAAAACTAAAACCGCTATAGCATTAAAAATATCCCTTACAGATTTTTTAATGTAATATTTAAAACTTCCTGTTCACTATTGATAATATATTCAATTAATGTTGTTATAATAAAATATTTTTATGGCTATACAGTTGGTTTTTGTCCAATTTTTTACCTGCTTGGTTCCCTTTTGTCCCTGTATTTCTATAGAATAGTTTCTGTTCTTCTGTTGATCTTAATAGAAGAACATGATTTCAAAAATTCTCATTTCCTGTAAAGTCTTGGCTACCATGTACATGCCATATCATTGTCTTTGTATTTTAAAGTGCCTCCAAATGCCAGGTTATAATTTTCATTTTTTTTCTTTCAGCCTACAGAATGTTTCATCAGTGTTGAGAGAGAGAAGTCTAAGGATGAAAAAGAAATTAAAATGAAGCCAAAGAGAAAAAGAAGGGTAATTCTGATTAATATTTCAAATCAATATTTTTAATTTTTATGCTATATTTTGATCTAATAAAAAGATGATAAATTAAATATAATTCTCAGTTAAATAATCCAAAAATATTTTATTTCATAATATTATTAATGATTGTTTACAATAATAAATAATATATTAACTAGTCTCAATATCATTTCTAATTCTTCTGTCCCTTTTCATTATCCTTCCAGTTCAAGGAAAAATACAGTTGTAGTTTAATCTAAAATATTCTATCCAAAAATCCAATAATGTCTCCAATGCCAGATAACTGCCCAAGACAAAAACTATACCTAATGTGTGACACACACATCAGGTATACATTGGTTTCTTTATTATTTTGAAATGTCCATGGTTGCCATGGATACCATGGATTCATGAACGAATCCATATTTAACATCACTAGGTGGCAGGTTATAGTTCCCAAGGACCAATAGAATCCAACAGCTTAGGCAGGGAGGGAAGTACAGAAGCAATAATAGCTGGAGAAAGAGGCTCAAAAAGGACTCTACCTACTGTAACTCTCAGACTATAAAGGAGTTTTGTATTTTCAAACTTGTAAAATTGATGTCAGCCTTCCCAGATATATCAGATAGGAAACAAACTTCCTATCTTCCACTTGATTATAAGTCTAAATTAACAAAATCTTGCAAGTTTAAAAGCTGCTCTCCTCTAGACACTTTGCAGCTGTGAAGCATCTGACACTGTTAGGCAGCTCCCACTATGGTTGCTGAAAATAATTATTTCTCCCAGTATGTACTTTCCCTTATCTGCATAATGGTAGAATCAGGAAGGCTGGTAACAGAAACATGGTAAACAATTCAGAAAACATTTATGGGTGTGGATGAAAGAAACGGGGAAGGCTGTTCATGAAGATATGTACTGTTTTATGTTTGGTTTTTTATTAGGTCATTCATGTTTTTTGTTAAGACTGAATATATTTTTGTAATATTATTCAAGTATTAGGATATAAATCATTGTCCAGTTTAGAAGCAAATGAAAAAAATTGCAATGTATTTAATAGCTCCACACCATATGGATTATGCCTTTCTCTTTTTCTTTCCTTTTTTAGAAGAAAATTTCTGATCTTCTCACAGAAACCGTGCCAAAGCCAGGTGTCCCAGAAGATGTACAAAAAATGCTCAATCAACATTTTGGAGCCAAACGTTCTGTGATTGAACTAGAAGAATTAAAACTGCCAGGTAATAAGGAGAGTACCAATGAGGAAACTATTTAAAAAAACATTTTGTAAAAGTTTATAACAACATTTGTTTCTTATGAAGTATTATCTATATATGATTTCTAAGTATTGATTGAAAAAAACAAATAAACAAAACAAACCTTCTGATAGCTCCTAGACTTTCCAGATGCTGTTTTGGGAGATGTGATGTTTGTGTGAACTATTAACTCCACATGGACATGGAGACATGACTGCTATGTGGTTTTGACAGAACATTTATCATCATCATAATCGAGTAATTGTTCTGGTCACANTGGTCACATATATAGGATTTTTAGTGAGACAAGCATTCATACTCATACCACAAACGTACACTATCTTCTGCCTAGCAGCAAGGATTTCAAATGAATACAACTCTGTATAATATAATTGATTGCTCAGACATTTTTAATTGATTACGATGTATAAAATAAAATTTAAATTAGCAAAGAAAAATAGAAATTGTAATTCTCACTGCTGTTAGTACATGTAATATTAAAAATATACATTTTTTATCATAATTTTCTGTTATTATACCTAAAAGAAATAGTTCTGGCTTAAAATCTACGTGTTTTCTTAATATTTTCTCTAACCGCATATGTATTTTTGCCCCAATTTTTTTTGCTTTAGGGCAGTGGTTCTCAACCTATGGGTCGCGACCCCATTTGGGGTCGATCGACCATTTCATGGGGGTCGCCAAGCAAGGCTGTCCACCATTTTTCCCCCTTTTCCGGTGGGTGCCTTACCTCCGTTGGGCTGGGCCAGCTGGTGGTCGGCCTGCTCCGTCTCTGCCGCTTGCCAGCTATGCCTCGGCCGGCACAGGGGGTGGAACCACGCATGCACGGCGCTCCCGGGCAGGGAAAGTCCTCGAATTACGACCGGTTGGGTAGTCCTCGACTTACGACCGGTTGGGTAGTCCTCGACTTACGACCGGTTTAGTCCTCGACTTACGACCGATTTAGTCCTCGACTTACGACCGGTTTAGTCCTCGACTTACGACCGGTTTAGTCCTCGACTTACGACCGGTTGGGGGTCGTGGCATTAAAAAGGTTGAGAACCACTGCTTTAGGGCATGTCCACCAAAGGTGGTAGATTGTGCCTGGCTTTTGCCTACATTTCCAACAGTTACTAGACATGTTTTTAAACATTTTTTTCCAATCTTGCAGGTGGTAAAAATAAATAAAACTAGACTTGGAAAAATGGAAAAAATCTATAACTATCAATCTTGGGAAGAATAGCGACGATGAAAATTAACATTTTACCAAAACTACTTTTTTTTATTCCAAACAATACCTATAAAATTAGAGAATTTTTTTTTTTGATGAGTTAAATGCATCGATTTTGAAATTTATCTGGCAAGGGGAAAAAGTCAGAATTAAACTGAAAATGTTACAAGAAGCGAAAGAAAATGGAAGATTTGGCTTACCAGACTGGGTTCTATACTATCAAGCAGCTGCATTAACATGGTTAAAAGAGTGGATAACCCTTAGACACAAAAGAAGGACATAGAAGGACATAATTATAATTATAATTATAATAGAAGGACATAGAAGGACACGATTTGCATCTCGGATGGCATGCCTTCCAATGGTATGGGAAGAATAAAATCCATAAATATTTTCAAAATCATTATGTAAGAAATGCTTTGCTTCTAACATGGGAAAAGATAAACATGAAAATTTATATGAAAATACCAGGATGGATCTCGACAATGGAAGCATTTGTGCATCTAAATTTAATCAACTATGAGAAACCTGCGACTTATAGAGACATTTTGAATACTGAAGAGAAATTACAGACTAAACAAGAATTGGAAGAACAGGGCATTGAGCTATCATGGTGGCCACACTTGCAAATGCAAATGAGATATGAGAAAGATGCCAAAACATATGATTTTTATAAAGACCAGACAGTGTTTGACCAGATACTATTGTCATGAGATGAAAAGTTGATTAAGAAACTCTATAACTTTTTGTTAAACTTAAATGGTGGAAGATGAACAAGTCAAAGAAACAATGATAACATGGGCAAAAAAATTTGGGCACAATGTAGAACTAGAAAAATGGCAAACCTTATGAGAAAGAAATTATAAAATAACAAGGGCAATTACTTATAAAGAAAATTTATATAAAATGTTTCATTGATGGCATTTACCATTTAGACTGTTTTTTAATCACCAAAGAAATTCCATTAACGGGAGGGAGCAAGATAGCATACCTGTGCAATATTGTTGCTGACAGCTGATGATAGTCTGAAACCCTGCTTGGATTTGCTGTTCTGGGTTGGGCTAGTGGTTTAACAGATTGCACCATTCTATTTTGTCATAATGGTTAACAACTCTGGTCTCAAAGTATCTCATCACAAATACATCCAGTTCAATAAAACTATCTTTAAGGATAATGGAGAGAGAATTTTGAAAAGAATCTAAATTGTGTTCAATATTGTTCCCATCATTTGGTTAATCCACTTTAAAGCTTTTTGTTATTAATTTTGGGTGCTTGCAAAATTCTGCTTTCTGAAAGAGCATTTTGCCTGGCTTATAACAAAGCAGCTTCCTGAAAATTTAATCCAAGGTCTTAGCTATAGCATTAAGCAACAATAGTTGTCTATTATGGTTTCAGATTCCTGTTTCCTCCCTGCCAATGATCTCACTCACAGCTTTTCTTCCTACCTGAAAGAAAGTGAGTAGTAATTTAGTCAGAAGTCATTCTATGTCATTTTTTTCTTACAAGGCTTAAAATAATTTGAGATAATATACATGTGTATGTTAATTGTGTGTTTATATTATGCTTTTTTCAGAAAATGCTTACTTTATAGTAGAAAGTATTATTCTGTCATATTGAACAATGCAGGTTCTAGTTTTAGATGCTAGATTCATAACAAATTAGCCCACATAGATTGGATTTAACTGAATGCTCATAATCAAAAACCAAGGGCTCAGGAACCACCAGATAGGGAGAACAAACAATTTTAATAATCCCTCTGCTAAAGCTGAATTGAAAAATGGACTAAAATATGTTTAATTTTGAAATATATTTAATGCTTCATTGTTATTGCTTTATTTTCAGTTATACCAACAAATATTATTCATGAGTGCTTATAATAAAGATTATAATAAAAACAATAATGAAAAAGAAAAAAATGCCACCTCACTTACATTATAGTCTCCATTTAATCTGAGGAGGCCAAGACAGAAGCTCATATGATAAAGTGGATGATTCTGGGCCTTATGTAACTCTTAGTCACATCATATACCCAAACAATACCTTCAAATTCTTGTCCATTTTTCTCTTTTACAGAAGAAATAATAATATAACTTATTTGGTTTATATGATATTGGAGGTAAATCCCTGAAACTGATTAAATTAGTGAGATACCATTTTAGAAATACTATTAGTTAACTATTGGGGCATAGGTTGATTATATTGCCAGTTTCAATTTAGCAAATAGCAGGGGTAGTCTGAAGTTACGACAGCCTTGGAAAGGTGCTTTATGGCCCATAGAACACTTATGGCTGTTAAAAACCATCATGCTGGCTCTCCCTCACAATCATGATCACAATCTGGGTGGTTGACAACCTGTTCACAGGTATGAGGCTTTGCCAAGCATCCCACAATCGTGTGTTCACCATTTGCAATCTTCTCCGTCAGCTCCCCAGAATGTCAATGGAGAAGCTGTCAGGGAAGTTTGCAAGCTGAGACAGCTCCCTCTTGTCTTTGGAAGCTGGCTGAAAGAGCTGCCTGCTGAGGGGAGCTAAGCTCTTCAGGTTCCTGAAAATTTAATCCAAATTCTTAGTTACAGCATTAAGCAACAATAGTTATCTGCTATGGCTTTAGTGGGATGGCGAAGCAGAGCTCAGGTCCTAATGATTTGAGTTCCATTTCTGCACCTTGTAAGGTGAACTGAGTTCCTTCTGCAGGGTGGAGAAACAGAGCCCACATGCTAACGGTTGTAGCTCTCTTTCTCTGCCCCGCTGAGAAGGTGCCTTCCCATGCATGAAGGGGAGCTGAACTCAATCAGCCAGTCCCTGATTCTCAATCTGACGAAGAGGATGCCAAAATCTAAGCAGAGAGCAAAGAAGCAGTATTATATGGTAGTCAGTATGGAGTTCCTCAGGTGGATGGGGGATGCCCTAGGAGGCTCAGCACAGGTCATGCGCACATGTCTCTGAAAATGCTTGGATTTTGGCAGGGAGGATTTTCAGCTCCTGAGCAGAGCCTCCCACTTCTCTGAATCACCTCGCACACTTTACTCTGTCCACTTAATGAGCTATACAATCACTTATGACCATATATCCAGGAGTGCTGGGATTGCAATCATTGAGCCAAGCAGTCACATGGGTAGTCACATGACATCTCATTAATGACTGCTTCACTCAGCAACCAAGATTCCAGGCTCAATTGTGGCTATAAGTTGAGAACTACTTGTCAAATATATGCCTCTTTAAGACTTTGCAGGGGTTACAACTAGATGTTCTCTAAGATCTCTCCAATTTTCATTTTTCATTACTCTTAAGACACAGTTTAATAGAACTAAGATTCGTAATCATAGTTATTGCATATTTAAATAGCAGATTTATCCAAATAATATTTGTAGAGATCTTCAGTTTGAAGCTATTATATGTTTGACTTAATTTGTAGCAAGAGTATTTTATCTTTTGGCACATCCCAGTGACAAAATATGTAAATTGCTTTCAGGATTTAGACAGTTATATTAATGTCAAATAGCCTGGTGACAGTTACTTTAATATAAATAGTTTATGCAGATGACCAATCTGATTATAGTCAAGCATTAGCAGGACTGAACAAGAGTTTATATTTCCTACAGTTTTTTGGCAATGGTATAACTTTGCTCTGTGCTTTTCATGATAAGTTCCACCCTAACAATATTTGTGTCTTTTTTTTTTTTTTTTGCATGACTACATATTGGCTAATTTTTAATGTAAATCACTGGAATTCAAAGAATTGGAATTGCATATAATAAAATATTCTATAATAATATATATTATAGAATATTTTATTATATGCAATTCCAATTCTTATAAATAGAAGATAAAACATATAAGATAAATAGAAGATAATATATAATAATAATATATATTATTATATATTATCTTCTATTTATCTTATATGTTTTATCTTCTATTTATCTTATCTATTAATATGTATATTTAACTTTGCTAGTTGTTTTCTTGTTTAATTCACTAGTATTTTTCTTTTTGTTTTCTTTTATGTGTTCAAGAACAGTATGGTAAGCTATTATTCAGGATGCACTTTCATTTCTCATTACAGAATATATCAAAAGTCAGACAGCCCCCATAGACTTATTATATAAATAACATTAAATGTTAAAATTTGTGGCAACTTTCTTCTAAATACTTCCTTAGTTGATACATGATACATGACAATAATATTTTCTCTGGGGAAAAAATTAATAAAACTAATAAAGCATTGTGATTGGCTTAGGGTTTCTGGCTTTTGGCATACCCTGTACATCTATGTTTAAAATAAAGAAGCTGTTATGTGATTCATTTATCTAGGACATTAGTTAACTTGTGTAGGCACAAGTTATGCTATGCTCCATTAGCAGGCTACCTCACTATTTTCTAATATAATTTGGCATTACTGTATTTATCTTTGTTTTTCACATTTCAGTCTGTCCTAAATGGGCAAAACTCCGTAAAAACCACACAGAGAAGTCATCAGTGGTGATGCTGGTAATTTGCAGCTCTGCTCTCCGGTGTCTGGAACTCATCAGGTATGTTGTTTGCCATCATAAGAGAATCCTTTTTAAGGTTTTTCCCAAAACCACAGAATTAAAGGGACAACTAGGGTACTGTCCTTTCCAAGTTTTCACAACCACTAATGGTAACAGGGTCAGGTCATTCTTTAAATCCTGGTCTTGCAATACTTGGGAAACATACATATACCAGGCTACATATTTGAATTGCCTTTTTAAAAAAAATAAAAAGTGGTTCGTATATGCGAAGCATTAATTCAGGGGATGGAACAATAAATGCCCCTAGTCAACTGCATCCTAACCAAGTTGAGTGACATTAGCTATCAATAGGCTTTGTCAAAAGCTTGAAAGAAGCAGGCTGCAAGACGCCTTGGCTTAGGTCCTTCTTGCATGGGTCTTCAGGATCTGAACCTGAACCTTCCGCATCCAGAATAAAAAAAATATTCCTTCTTCCTCTTGGCTGAGAAAAGAAAAAAATACCATAAGTATGGCTTTCAAATTACAAAATAGAATTAAATATATGTTCCTGTTTTCATTTACTTTTGGATAAAATTGGTGTCCTAATTTCAGTGCAAAAATTCTGTCCTTTTCATGTTTTCAGTTTTCTTTTGTTCTTCATTAGATCAATGGCAGTGTTCAAAGGAGATGGAAAGGTTATGAAATTATTTGCAAAACATTTCAAGGTAAATATAGTCAAAGGGAAGTACTATAATTTTATCTAAATATAAATAAAGTGTATTCTGTGCAAGTACGTTTATATAGTTTTCCTTCCTTCCTTCCTTCCTTCCTTCCTTCCTTCCTCCCCTCCCTCCCTCCCTCCCTCCCTCCCTCCCTCTCTTTTAAGGAGTGCATGAATGATCATAATAGTTTGATGACTGGCATAGAGCATCTAAGCTCTAAAGAAACATGTAACATTTCATTTGCCAAGGAAGAATAAATTGGAAAAAAGGTAACATATATACTCCATACTGTTAGATTTTTGGAGCAGGGGAACCGAGAAACAATTTGTGTTCAGACATGAAAAATCAGCAATTACATGAAAACAAATATGTTGACAAGCCATTGGGCCCTGCCATAAAGTACCTCTAGCTCAATTACAGATTTTGAGCTTTGCTGTGTTGTTTTTCCATGTAACAAAGTTGAATTTCCATCTAAAGTTAAGTCATATAGTACACTTTTGAATCTTTTAGAGAAAATAATTTATAATTTTCTTGTCTCTTGATCTACATTCTCCCCTTTCTGCTTTCTTGAAATAGATACAAGAACAAATGAAAATGCTGGAAAAAGATGTTGTTCATGTGGGTGTTGGGACACCTGGAAGGATAAAAGCACTAATACAACAAGGTAGAAATTTACAGTATAACTTCTAGTTATGTAAAAATGAAATATACTTATTTTTCAATTATTCCAACCATAGGAAGAATTTTAAAAATTTAAGAATTACTGAAATAAAACTGAGATGGGAGCAACTGCACAGAAGGTGTTAAGTGAATTCATTAGAGCAGTGTGTCATGACACAAACCCTGTCCCTTTTGTGAGTGCATTTGTATCACTTCATGCTCATATGGAAGACCACCCAGAAACTTCAACTGGTTCAGAATACAGCAGTGCACACAGTAATGGGGCCCTTACGTTTATTCATTCAACACTTCTGTCACGCAAGCTACACTGGCTTCCAGTTTCTTTCCAGATGATATCCAAGGTGCTGGTCATCACCTTTAAAGCCCTCTGTACCATATGGCCAGGCTATCTGTGGGAGCGCCTTTCTCTAAGGACATCTATCAGGTCCCTTCCCCCAAATATTGTTTTCTGATTGGAACCAGGAAGCATGCCTTTTCTGTCGCAGCCCCTATGGAACGCTTTCCCCCCTGAAGACTTCCGTAAGACTTTGAGACCTGGATTTTTCTCCTTTTGTGTCAAAATGGGAAGGTTTCATACTCAGAAGCTAGACAGGATCTTTGCTTTAAACTGCTGAGATGGACATGCCTAAATGTGCAAAAGTTACCTGCCTTGGAATTGAACAGCAACAAGTCTAAGAATCATTTTGACATGCAGATGTTCTGTTATCAATAGCCATCTTGTCCTTTCTCCTCAGAAGGCCTTAAGCTGACTTCCTTGAAGTATTTTATCTTAGACTGGAACTATAGGGATCAGAAGTTAAGAAGATTAATTGACATCCCAGAGGTACAAACTTTTGTGTCCGTGCATGTTGCTGGTTGGGTGCTTATGGTAACATTTTATAGTTTATACACTAGACTTTTAAGAGAAAGGAAGTAAAATTATATACATTCGAAATTGAAAAGTTGCATTATTTACACTTTACAGATTACAGGACTATAGCTCATTTCACATACAGTACAAATACAAACCTGTATTTATCATTTCTAATCTAATTAACAAAAGATGCAACCAGTTGTTCATTGACCAACAATCGTCTTACAAAATTTGCACCAAACCCACTTATCACAATTCCTGACAGATAGCAAGTTTTATAGTTTATCTTGAATTAGTACCCAGAAAATTGCCATAATTTAAATTAAATCTAAGTAAGTTAAAATATTAAAATCAAAATCCAAGATAGTAATGCACATAAGGATCTCAAGCCCCAATTGCTTTACAAAAAAAAATTAAGTCTGTACAGATCTCCAGGATATTAAAAGTAAGGGGCCAGATTTTGAGGGAAAGCCTATTTCAGAACAGTCTGATCTAAACTCATCAAGAATAGTGATACTTTAGTTCCTTATTCTCAAATTGTACAGGACTGTAGATCATAGCTGATCATAAAACAGATCTAAAAATCATTTAGCAAAACTTTGCTGATTTGCTGATAAGGATTTTTGATCCTGGTTTCAAATCCTAACCTCCATCTAAAGAGAGTGCTTTTAAAAAAAATGTTTAAAACTTACACTAACTAATCTTGTACTGATGAAATAGATGTTGATAATACAGCAAGATATCTGAATATAAACTTTCCATGAAGGATAACTAAAATAAGTTACGTTATTATTCTTTAATTTAGTTAATTAATACAATTTCATAAATTTTAATTATTTTTAAAAGGATAGTATTATAAAGAATAAATTGAAAAATGCCTCATTTATATACAAACATATATAATACTCTTTTCCCATAATAATGGTAAAATTATCTAGTACGGTCTACAAAAATGTCGAAAACTAAAGAAAGAATGTGCCCCCTTGTGGTCTTTTTCCAAATATGAAATTAACATATTAGCTACTGCAGTTAATGAAAAATATTCTGGCATCTACAGAGATATGCCCCTATAGCAATAACTATATCTTTTCTTTCTTTCTGGATATTTTCCATTTTTAAAGGTTACATTTTTATTACCTTTATTCCTTACTGCAGGACTCTCATCAGCTTTATGGAATATGGAAATCATTGAACCATCCATAGTAAAATAAAAGTAATAAAATCCTAACGATCTAAAAAAAAATCCCAAACCAGGTGTCATTCCTCAAATGCCAAGTGGAACAGCCTCCATCAAGGTTGAAACTTTAATGGGAGGCTATTTCAGGAGATTGGAATTCTTCAGAAAAGCAGTATTTCTGAGCTCTGCCCTTCTACAAATTTGACATTCCTCAAATTGGTTGGGCTAATTTTGAATGTAAACTGATGCTAACCTATAAAGAGCAGTCTATAGGGTAAAACCAGTACTTTAAACTGTACACAGACTCTCATATAAAGTGAATGCAGGGCCCATTGCACAAAAATAATGGGCTTCCATTAGTGAGCACCAGTAGATACCTGAACTGCTGCATATTAGACCAAGTGAAGCTTTTAAGTGGTCTTTAAAGGCAGCCAGCTGTGGCACATATCACAGTAATCTAAGCAAGTAATGCGATGAGGGCATGTGTTGTAGTCCTTGCATAAAAGTAGGCTGCAAATGGTATATTAGCTATTCTGGTCTCCTTGCTTTTATGTTCTGTTAGGAGCCAGAAGTCCAAGATGCCACTCAGATTACAGACTTGCCTCTTCAGTGGTAGCACTTCCTCCACATCACTCTCAAAGCATTTTCCCCATCCAGACCCTCACTTACCCATCTTTCCCCATCCAAATTCAGTCTCCTGTCACTGGGACAAAACCTAACAACTTCACACAGATAGAGCATTTAGCTTACCAGGGTGACACACTTTATTTTTTCACCAAATTTTTTTGAATGAGCAGCAAAGTTTGGCAGTAACCTACTATAAATTGGTTTAACTTCTTTAATGATAGTAATTGTTACTCACCCAAAACTAGAAAAAAATAATCATTCAAATAAGTATGTTAAATTTTCTTTGCAAACAAATTTAAGAATTTTTACAGAGAAATTTAAATAATGGAGTAGTTAAGCTACTGGTTTAGAATAGTTAATTAGTAAATGATTAGCTGCAAGTTTGACCTATTATGCATAATAATTAATGCTTAGTACTTTATATCTAAATATTTATAGAGGATATTGTGCAAATATTAAAATGGGAGAACTGCAAGGTTTCAGCTATGTATGCTTACTTTTGAAAAAAAAAGTCCGCATTAATTGTAATGGTAAATATTTTTTTCAGATAAAAAAAGAAACAATTGAACTTCTAGAAATGGAATTAATCAAGGTATGCAGAAATGGTTCTGTGAAGTTGGGACTCTTTTGAAAAATGATTATTCCTGTAGCTCATTCTATTGAGCTGCCTTTAAAAGTGCCCAAAGCTGAAGATGTGTGGTCGATCCTTTTGTCATCCACCATTCTTTTGTAATAAAACATATTTTGTGTGAAGATCTACACTGGAATTTTTTTAATAAAGTGCTATCCTGGAAGGCCTAAGTTGTTTTAAAATTCTGTACCTAAGAGAAATAAATTGAAATCATTAGAAAACATGATTCAAATCATATCTCAGATATAAGGTGAACTATCTTAGCTTCTATCTGTAACACAATAAAAAATGGCTTGCTTTGAAAAGATGCTATGCTAGAGAAACATGGGGAATTGGATATGGAAAATATCCTAAATTTGCTGTCACCTTCACGATGTTGTTGTAATCCAGTTTCCCTCAAAATTCAGTCACTATGCAACCCTTAGAGCAAAGAATTTCTTCTCACGCTCCTTTGCACTGGGAAGAATATGTATGTATATATGTGTCTTCTGACCTAGCAATCAGAAAACACTTGATACAGAACCAAGTGTTGGTTTTGTTGAGCTATCCACTATCAGCTAGCTTAAAAAAGGAATTGGTTTTTTTTTAAAAAAATATTTTTTCCTGCTTTACGCTGTAGATTTTTTTAGAGAATAAACATCCTCATTGTGTATTTTATTTTAAAAGTTTTTAAGTTACATTTAAAATTGTTATAGATATTACCTAATAATAGTATCATATACAAAAACAGAGTGACCATAGTATGCTGAGGTAAGAACACGCTGAGGTAAGAAAGTACATTCTAAGAAAATAATCCTCCATGACTATGTGCATTTGTTCTTCCTTGAACTATAGGAACAAGCACTCTGCACATTTAGAATTCATTTAAGACAGGGCTTTTCAACCAGTGGTACGGGTACCACCTGTGGTACATTGGCACCTGGCAGGTGGTACACGACCATCCTAGAAAAGTGGTAGCGGGGGAGGGGAATGAGCTGAACCAGTGGGAGCACTGCACAAGCCTGAGCGAGAGACAGCTGGAGCTGCAGGGCTGTCAAGGCTCAGCAGAAGCGCCAGGATCAGTGCTGCTTTCCAGATGATCGGCGCTTCTTTGGGGCTGTCAGGCCTCAGTGGAAGCGCCAGGATCAGCGGCAGGCTCCAGCTGGAGCTCGGCGCTGATCGTAGCGCTTCTGCTGAGCCCAGAAGAAGCACCGATCAGCTGGAATGTTGCAGCATCTCCAGGGTCTTGTGATTTACATTCAGATGCTTGGCAACTGATTCATATTTATGACGGTCACAGTGTCCCAGGGTCATGTGAAGTGACCAAAACCTGCTGCAACCACCCAGCAGATGGGAATAAAAACCAAACACCCCCCCACCCCCACCCCCGCTGCCAATCCTCAACAGAAATGCTCACAACAATGAAAACCTCAGACAGGAGGAAGAGCGCCGCCGGGCGGGCAGGCAGGTGTCTTGCTCGGCTGTGGCTTGGGGGGCACTTTTTTCAGTGCCATTGTAACTTCGAACAGTCACTAAGCGAACTGTTGTAAGTCAAGGACTACCTGTACTTTATCACTTTTTTCTTTTTTGGGGGGGTCAAGTTTTTGACACCTTGCTAGGCGACTGGTGGTATTCGGATGTTGCCATATCCTAAAAGTGGCACAATGGGTGCAAAGGTTGAAAAGCCCTGATTTAAGAGACACAGTATTAGGGCAAATGAAAACAAAAATGTAAGAATTTTGAAATAAGATTGCTTGAGCTAATATGTAGAAATTAGCATTAGTACCTAAAAAAATGGTACTGTAATTTAATAAAGCTGTTTCATCTGACATATATACTGTATTTATACATTTCCATTTCTCATGTATGTCCTTATATAATGCTGTAATATTTGATGTGAAAAGCTTTTATAAACATAAAAGGGAAGATCCGCTTAGAAAAATGTGGGTTAGACAGCATCACCACCAGATGGATCCGTAGCTGGCTGACCAGCCGTACTCAGCGTGTGGTCCTCAATGGAACCACATCTACATGGAGGGAAGTGTGTAGTGGGGTGCCCCAGGGCTCTGTTCTGGGCCCAATGTTCTTCAACATCTTCATGAACGATTTGGACGAGGGGATAGATGGGGAAATCATCAAATCTGCAGACGACACCAAGCTGGCAGGAATGGCCAACACTCCAGAAGACAGGCTTAGGATACAGGAGGATCTGGACAGACTTGAACACTGGGCACTATCTAACAAAATGAAATTCAATGGTGAAAAAAGTAAGGTTCAACATTTAGGCAAGAAAAACCAAATGTACAGGTATAGTATAGGGGATACCTTGCTCAATAGTAGTAACTGTGAGAGGGACCTTGGAGTCCTAGTGGACAATCACTTAAATATGAGCCAGCAGTGTGCTGCAGCTGCCAAAAAGGCCAACACAGTGCTGGGCTGCATTAACAGAGGGATAGAATCAAGATCACGTGAAGTATTAATACCACTTTACAATGCCTTGGAAAGGCCACACTTGGAATACTGCCTCCAGTTTTGGTCACCACGATGTAAAAAAGATGTTGAGACTCTAGAAAGAGTACAGAGAAGAGCAACAAAGATGATCAGGGGACTGGAGGCTAAAGCATATAAGGAAAGACTGCTGGAATTGGGTATGTCTAGTTTAATGAAGAGAAGGGCGAGGGGGGACATGATAGCAGTGTTCCAATATCTCAGGGGCTGCCACAAAGAAGAGGGAGTCAAGCTATTTTCCAAGGCGCCTGAAGGCAGGACAAGAAGCAACGGATGGAAACTAATCAAGGAGAGAAGCAACCTAGAACTAAGGAGAAACTTCCTGACAGAACAATTAATCAGTGGAACAACCTGCCTCCAGAAGTGGTAAATGCTCCAACACTGGAAGTTTTTAAGAAGAGACTGGACAGCCATTTGTCTGAAATGGTATAGGGTTTCCTGCCTGAGCAGGGGGTTGGACTAGATGACCTCCAAGGTCCCTTCCAACTTTATTACTATTATTATTATTTACATTTAAATAAACTAAGGCTAATGGCCTGAATATGTCATATTTCCAGTTAGACTCTTTACATATATGTATGTATAATTCTTGTAAGAAATTGAAAAGCATCCTTACAGTAGCATTTGTGATATTTTGCAGTCATTTATGGGAAATAGCACACGTGCAAAATTGTAAGTTTTTGCATTATATATACATATAGCCATTTTAACTGGCTTAGATTAAAATTTCTTTTAAAAAAAATAACTAGAATTTCAGTGGACAACAGTTTCAGAAGACTCAGCACAATCTATCAAGTCTAGGTTATTTTATTTCATTAGGCACTGGGAAGTGGTTTTTTTTCCTTATTTTATGTCATAACTTGATGATGACATTTTAGGTGGTATAACACGGTATATAGTTTTTAAATGTTAATCTATCAATATTGTTAATATATACCGAAAGTGTAATCAGAATGAAATAGTAAAGCATCCAACTTGATCTAGATCATTAAATGCACCTACACAATTCAATTTGAAGAACTTAGGTTCCAATTCCAATCATAAACTAAGAGTAGAAATGAAAGTTATAACTGATAACTGCAAAACAGTCATTATCACTTCAGTCTTTGAGTTACTTTCCTTTGTTTTCTTTCTAGAAATGTGTTTTGATAACAAACAGAACTATTGATTATATATTATATAATTATATGCTATCGGGAACTGTCTGTTATAACCACATGCTATACCCATAGCATAGTATGAACTATGATTTAGTATAAAACAGCAAATAAGTCTATTAACAGCAGCAGAACGAAGCTTATAAGACAAGAAGTAACAGACAGAAGATCAGTAAAGAGTGACACAACCTAGGATTAAGAAAAAATTTCCTGACAGAACAATTAATCAGTTGAATGGCATGCCTGCAAAAGTTGTGGATGCTCCATCACTGGATATTTTCAAGAAGATGGACAACCATTTTTTCATAACATTTCATAACATTTTTTCATAGAATAGAGGGTTGGAGTAGAAAATCTCCAAAGTATCTCCCAACCCTGTTATTGTATGTTCTATATTAACACAAATTTCTTCAGTCCATTCTGGCAGGTATTTTACTCACATGAGTTGGAAAGAATCACATAAAAGAATGAATACAAAGAATATGTGGAAGTATAAAATCTATACATCGCTTGTTCTCACACATTCAGCCCTTAGAAGTACCATAGTTACAGAATAAAAATAAGTTACATATAATTTTTATAAATAAAAACATGAGGAATGGAGCAAGGCACAAGAGCAAGTTTCTGTAAAATTGAAATTAAACATCATTTTATATTACACAGTTGTGATTGTCAGGATTAAATTTACCAGTGAGCTAACTTACGATATTGTGTATTTAGCAACACTATACACAATGGTCTTTTGACTTACACATTCACAACACATTTAAAAGTCCATAAAACTGGGCTATTGCATATTAAAGGATATTCCTTTTTGTCATCACTACAGTGCTGATAAATGCAATATAAAATGGTATTTTTTCATGTACTTTCTTGATACATAGTTAAACATGGTAAAAAGGGAAATGAAATTGCAATGTAATACAGCTTTGTGTTCAATACTTTTCATTGTGCATAAGGTCATTAATCAGTCCAAATATATACATTTCAAAAAAGTGAATTATTACAAAATTAAGTACCTTTAATTCTAAGCTAAACATATAACTTTGAACTTTCAAAATGATCAGCTCATTAACAATAATTTAAATCTCGGTCCACATCAAGCAGCAATTTGTTTTTATTTTTTTTTGCCACATTTTAATCTAATTGACAACAGAATTCACAATTTAAAAGCTACCGGGGTATTTTTCTTAAGGTATAAAAGTATTTTAAAACATTTGTAAAAAGCTGTACATTTATAAATGTATGAAAATCCTGATCTGTCTTTGCAAATGTACGCACAATATGTTGATGTGCTTATACCTTTCAAAATAAAAAAAAATCACCTTCAAAGCCTACAGTTTATTACTGTGGGAGAAAGCCTCAACAGGGTGGGTAGGTGGTTATTTTTTATAAACTATATTCTTAGCTGAAAAGATTACATCTGCAGCTAATAAATCCTCAGTAAAGCTTTCTGTAGTCTAATGTTAATATAACAGTATTTATATTACACTTCGGGTGTCTTAAATCACTAACACACCTTGTTAAAATAGCCCTGCAAGTAGATTCATTCTTATGCCCATGCTGCACATGGGAAACCTGAGGCTGAAAAAGAAAGCTACCTAGTGAATATGTAAATGGACCAAATCTGAAATCCATCATTTACTAGGCAAGCAAGAGAACTATTGTCTTTGAAAAAGAATATATAGAAAGTTCTAGTGCGAATTCCATCTTTAGGGAATCTACATCCAGTAAATGAAAAATACTATACAGTATTTAACATGAACAAAAGAGTAGTATTTAAATGAAGTTAGTCTTTCCAATAACCAGAAAAGAATGATTAACACTGTATAGTTTTTCTGGACCTCTTGTATACCAATTTATTTATAGAAATTGTTTATTCATTGCAGAGATCAATTTCAGTTTTGTGTAATACTTACTAAAAATGACAGTTTCATGTTTAGTTTACTTTCACAGTGCTATGAATATCCTTATCAATTGTTAATTATCAGACTGTTAGTGTTTCTATCTTTCTTTGACCCAACATCCTATAGAGTATAGAATAATTATTGATGAGTCTAAATGACTTATGTATTCACACTAATTAGGCACAGATTAAACTTTTCATGCCTAACGAGATGTAGTGCCCATCAGTAGTGAATTACAAGTTTTTCATAATCTGTACAAGAAAGCAGTAGTGGTATATTGGCCCTCAAAAGAGCAATACACATATTGTCCTGGGCCTATAATCTCATATTTTTTTTCAACACAACACAAAAGTCTGACCTTTTTCTCTACTGATTAAATCTGTAGAAAACTCTAACTTATATCTTCTTTATTTTCTGTGGAGTGTGGCATATTCTGTGGTACCTGGTATAGCAATTCATTTGGAAGGCTCAGTCCTGGCATTCCTTTAGGTGTATCGTACAGCATATGTGTGGGTGATAATGGACTTTCTGCCCTAGAAAGAAGTTTATTATAAGTTCCCACTAATGGAGGAGCTTGATTCCCTGAAGCTTTGAAGGTAGATACAGAAGCAATGCCTGGAGGAGCTGCAGGATGCCCTGACATATCCATCACTATTGGTATTGCATATTCTGGTCCAGTAACTGGGAGCGGTTCAGCATATGCATGATATATTTCTTGTTCTGAGGTGTTACAAGAATCTGTATCAACATAACTTGCTTCTTTTCCTTCATGTTTAAAAGTTGACTTCTGATGAAGTGTGCCAACAATTCCTCCCACAAGTGGTTGTGCATACTCTGTTGAAGAAAGCCAAAAGTGAATTTCTAAACCTCTCAATACCCAGAAAAAAAACCACTACAGGACTTGCAGCATAAGATGATAAGCCTAATCACAAAACACACCTAAAAAGATAATCTCAGTTGTAGATGGGGATGACATTGAATTTGTGCTTGTGCCATTATTATCTGTATGTCATCCTTCATCTTTGAAAGGAATCAGAAATGGTGGCATTAATTTTTAATAAAACGTTAATAACCTCAATAATACCTATAGTGACCATACAGTATTTTCTTTTATAAACCCACCACCACAGATTGATACTTTTATCTACATGCTTAGCAACTACTCAAAGTTCCAATGGACTTCCTCAGGGATACTTATGACCCGGATTTGAAGTTATAATAGCTAGCCCAACTCATGGTCACGTGATCGCACTTTAGGTGCTGGGCAACTGGCCCACATTTATGGCCAGTGCAGCTTTCTGTGGTCATGCATCCATGATTTATTATTTTTTTGTTGGAAACTGGCATTTCCTTCTGATTTCTGGTAAAAAAACCAACACCCATTGTGGACAATGGATTTGCTTAACAACCATGACATTTGCTTAACTGTCACATCTGACAGTTGCAAAAAAAAGTAAAATCAGGTGAGGTCACAAGATGACCCACTGAACATCTGGCACAATTTATAACCTTAATTCTGGGCTCAATTAGTCATAAGTTAAGGGCTAACTATACTTCAACACTTTAAAGTTTGTTTATTGAAGCAGTTAGCAAACAAAAATTCTGTTAAAAAGTACACAAATATACCATATATTTTATTTGTCATTTAAAAGATTTTTGGCAGATTTAAATGATTACTGCCTGTTGAAACTTTATGAAAAGAAATATTTATTTATTAGATTTATTTGCCGCCTATCTTGCCTCCATGCTAATAAATTACCTGAAAATTGTTGCCACATTAAAAAAAATCCAGCTACCTCTGAAGAAAGGCTGGTTTTTTCAAGCTTTCTCCAAGATGAACAGCCATGATATGGTTGTAATTTCAAGTAGACATGCTCTAAATGTAGTATTTTCTTTCACAAACCTGAAATAATTCTGTGGGAAAACTATAGCATCTTTGCTAATCCATTTAATTTCTATGCATATACCATCATTTTTTTGAAATATACACCGTTCGCTGAAATATAAACTGGGGAAGATATACCTGCTGATTGACTTTGTAACACAGTAGTAACTTCTTTTGATCTAAGGCAATTAATTTCACTGCTGTTATAATGAACAGATGATTCTTCATGGTCTACAGATTTAGAAGGAAAGAACTGCTTCATTCCTTTCCACCAACCTGCAATAAAATATTTAAAAAGGTACAGTTCTCTCCTATGACTTATAAGATACATGTATGAATCAAGCTATTCAAAATTCCATCATAAGTTTTTAAAAATATAATAAGGAGCTTTCTTCGTAATTTTGTAATAGTAGGCTTCTGTACATATTATGAAATCGTATTTTAATCCTACCAAAATTAGCAGCAGTTATCACTGGGATTCTATGCTCAGTTTTTTTCTTTCCCTCCTTTATCAAGGCAGCTATTTATTTACTTGATTTTTATCCCATCTTTATTATTTTATAAGTAACTTAAAGCAGCGAGCATACCTAATACTCCTTCTTCCTCCTATCTTCCTCACAATAACAACCCTGTGAGGTAGTTGCTATAGTTTAAGCCAGGGGTGTCCAACCTTGGCAACTTTTAAGACTTGGGGACTTCCAACTTCCAGAATTCCCCAGCCAACAGAAGAATGGATGGAGAAAGTGATGGAGCTGGAAGAAGTGCAAAATTCTGTTTTAATTAAAGAACATATCCAACTTTGTTTATATTTGGAAACAGCTTCTGAATCTTGTGCTTGAGACAGAAAAAATGAACTCTTGACTGTGGGTTTCCCTGATGAATACAGTTTGTTGTTACAGAAATAGCTAGTACTGCTAACTTGCTAAGCCGGTAAATAAAAAGTTGAGTAATTCTATTCTGTACTTTATTGCTTTGAAAAAGGTTAGCCAATGCTTTTTCTTTTTTTCTTCCTATACCAACACCTCCCTCCCCATTTCTGTCCCTTAGCCATTTTCCTATTATCTTTATTTCAATCTGTATTTTAATCTGTAATTTATATCAAGAAATGCTTGGGACCCATGATCCCTGGGCTACACAGAAGTACCTGCCTTGCTCCACTATTCTATCTGCTCCACAAGAAAATCAATGTTGGGGGGAGGGGAAGAGATGACAATCAATTATGCCATTTGAGATGCTTTGTGAAGTAGTCAAGTGCCTGTCCAATATTAACTGAAATAAATTAGAAACATATATTTGAACCTCAAAACGTTACTACAAAGTTTGCATCTAAAATTACCTGCACGATCCCAATAAGGTATATCATATGTTCCTTCTGACTTTCTTTTTCTGAAAATTATGCCAAATGAAGAAAACATTCATAATTAGTATTAACGTAAGACTTATTTGAAATATGGTTTTAAAATATTTGGCTGTAATACAACATGAAGAAGATTGCTTTTTTGTGTACTATACTATTAACATAAATAGCAGCAATGTTATTTATTGAAGTATGCCATTCAACCTCTAAATGTATTGTTTAAATACAATTGTCTGTAATCATTTACCATTCATTCATGCCATCCATAAATTTTCATCCTTTCCCACAGGAGAAATTTATCACAATTTAGAAATTTATAGCAATTTATCACCACAATAAGCCTGAACTCCATGACTAAAGTAGACATAAGCCTGGGTGCCTCCATGCCTAATCTAACTATTTCTAACAGTTATTCTCAGCTGAAGTTATTTAAGAAAAAAATACTGCAACAAAAGGATTTTTATTATTTGAAGAGGATTATTTGAAATTCATGGGTTTTAATGAATCTTGAATTTCTCCCATTTCATCTTTATATGGTCACTGTGCATTCTTAGCACAGTGTTGTGAACCTGCAGCTCTCCAGATATATTAATCACACAACTGTACCTAAGAATTCTTAAAACTGCAGCCACAATATATCATGAGGACTATTTAGAGATGTGTGGTCTAGAACAGGAATGCAGAAAGTGCAACTTTCCTGATCTGGTTCACCAGCATTCAATAACAAGCACCATAACCTCTACCAGAACAGGTGAACATAAACCTTAGCATCACTGCACCCACTCCATTTTTGTTGGCATTGTAGAAGCTTATAGCTTATGTTTAATCAAACCTCCCAAAGTGGTGCTGTTCCACTATAATTTTTGAATATGTTGTGCATGCTGTACAAAGCTGCAATGACACTTATGCCACACCAAGTTTGTGCAGTCCTTCTTTAGAAGCACTTATATAAGCTAGTTACCTGTTTCTCCAGTGCCAGGAGCAAACTAAGATCAAGATGAGGGTGGTAAAAACCATGACCAACACAGGTACTAGAACAGCTATCAATGCTACATCTGAAAAAATTAAGATATAGAATATGTTAGGTTCATAAAAAACAAACTTGATACATTCCCTTTTATCTAGGCAAATATTGAAGGGTACCAAAATATACATTATTAATGCTATGCATTATGTTACAGTGCTATCTTTTAGGTATCAGTACCTGTAGTAACACTTGGTGTTACTGTAGTATTCTTGATCTTAGGAGCAAAGGTTGTTTTACTGGTCTGCAATGGAAAATCTTTGTTGCTCCAGGGTGGAGGAGGCAATGATGCTCTTGGAGACCGAACTTAAAGCAAAAGCAAAATCTTAAATAAGTTTTTGGATTTTAAAAAATCCCATTTTACTTATAAAAATATTTAGTAAAAATGAATCTAATAGCTATTGTATTTGGAGATACTTTCTTAGACTGCCATGAAGGTATTATGACTACTAAAACTTTTCAGTATACAAAATAGTCGACTTCTAATTTAGTAATTTTGTATGCAAAATCTCCATGTTCTGTTGGCTACACACATATATATTACTTAATCATTTCTAGTGAATGAATTACTGGGTTAAAAATAAAGTGAAACACAAAAAGGCACTATTAATGCTAGGCTTTATAGTTCTGCAATGCTATTTTTTTAGATATCAGTACCTTTGGTTACACTTGGAGTAAACATAGTGTTCTTAATCTCAGGGGTGATGGTTGTTTTATCAATCTGCAAAGAAAAGTCATTGTTGCTCCTGCGTGGTGGAGGTAATGATGGTCTTGGAGCCCGAACTTAAATGAAAGCAAAATCTTGAGATGATGTCATTAATTTAAAATGTAACAAGTAACTTTGTTTTTGTTTTTTTACTTTTTCTCAAAATATCTGTTAAGAGTGCCAGCAACTAAATGTGAATACTCTCCTAATATGTATGATATGAATGTCCAGGACCAGTCAGTCACCCAATGAAAATGAAACAAATATTTGAGCACATTGGTTGTTGCATAATGGAACACTGGACTTACCGTAACAGCTCCTCAGTATTTTAATGCTCACTGGGAAACAAGCAGCTTTCACCCAGTTTTAGTAGATAAGTAAAATACTCCAGCAAAAAGGAGACAAGAAATCAAACTCCTAACATTTAAGCCATCTCCTATCAGTAATTGAAGTTGAGATACCCTCTCTGACATAGAAAAAAGGAGAGGAGTCTCTGAATCAGAGGAATCACAGAGGTTGAGAGAGGAGAGGAGACCCATCTAAAATTGTCTACCAGATTCAGTTGCAGAACTCCAGATGAATAAACACACAGATGGAGGAATAGTTACTTATCCTGACTAGGCTCTGCCCTAACTGGTTCCTCAAATATCAACTCATTGATTTATAAAGTTTAAATGGCTGCTCATCTCACAAAATGTGACTCTGGGCAGCATCCCTCATCCTTCCCTTGCCAAGATCCAAAAGCATGACCAAAGTTGTTTCTGTTCTATATCCGCATCTGAATCCCAACTGAAAGGGCTCCAGATAATCCACTTCATCCAAGGTCTCCTGAAGCTGCTGCAGAGCCACCTTCTTAACCATCTTCCCCAAAAAGGGGAGATTAGATGCTTGACAAAAAATGCCAGTATAGGGAGTCTAGCAATACAGAAGCAAGATGGCTTCTTGAGGAAAATTAAGGCTTGTTGACTAATCTCAACAAGCAATTCTTATTCTTTTCACAGTCCTTAACTCAGGGCTGGATATTTGAAGCAAGTCAGAAAAAAAAATCTTCAGTATGTCAGGGGCTGGGCTAGCTACTTTTTATCTAGCCATCACAAATTCTCTGACAAAAATAAGTAGAATTGCTCAAGCAAAGACCAGGACTCTGCAACTAGGCAGCATGGATCAGAACGGTGGTGTTTGTGAGGGTTAAAACCATCCTACTTACTGAATAAAGGACAGTAACCATGCACATAGGATACCCTCTTCCTCCATTAGAAAACTGTACATTTTATAAAGAATATATCAAATGCCACTTCACTTACCAACATTAAACTGACATCCCATCAATTCTACTTTCATTGCAATTTTTTGGTGCCATTTCAAAGGGTTTATTCTAACAAAGCGAGCAATAATGGGTGGAATGAAATTATTGCGAACTTCCTGATAATAGCCTGCATTGCCTTGAAATACCTAGAAAAAAATTAGATCATATAATGTGTAATACAAGATTTGCGATGCAAATTTCCTTTTCCTTTTCAAAGCATTTCGTTTTCAAATTTAAAAAAATATGATTATGTCTTGTTTTCAAATCATTTCATAGCAGGCATTCAGTTCTCAAAGCATTGATGAAATATTCATTAATGCAAATTCAATGAAGCAATCATTAAAAACCAGTAATGTTTAAAGTGCTTACTTTTATATTATGCAGGCTAAAGCTTGCAAGAACAGATATAAAAAAAACTGAGACTAGACAGGACTATTATACAAACACCGTGCAGATGTTCTCAAGATTCAAGGCTGAGAAAAAGACAACAAAAAGTTGATTATCAGAGAAAGAGATACAGGATTTAAACCTCAAGCTGACATGTAAATAGATGTATAGATTTGATCATAGTTGATCTTCATGGTTTAACAGCAGCTTTCACAGCTCCAGTAAGCAAATTATCCGAGCCCTGTTCTTGAATGTTCTGTTGTTAAACTCATAGGATTCTGTCTCCAAATGTACAGAAAGATTAATGCCACACCTAATATTGTTGCATTACATCAGCTACCCATAATAGGTACCATTATTTAGGTGACCTTTTCTGACTCAGACCTGATTAATCCTTGAAGGTCTAGAAATGCTCTGAACTGCAAATTTTAAAAAATCCTAGGAAAAGGTAATGGCAAACCACTTCCATTTTGTAGCCAAAAACACTGTTGGAAATGTCCATGAAGTCATCAAGAATCAAACTCAGCTCAGATTTCCCTTTTTACTATTCTTCACTAACTCATACTATTTTAGAAATTCCTAGATAACTTAGACAAAAACATTTAAACATTATTACTGTGAAAGTTATAATGATCACTTACTATTGTCAAGTTTAACGTAGCGAAGTTTAAATATATCCCCTTCTTCCTCTTCTTTTTTAAGCTACCAAGCCCAGAAGAGGGCAGTCAAAAGTTAGATTTAATGTTTATATCTGATTTTTTCTGATCTTATTTAGCATTCAGTGCTCCATGAAATATCACCAAATCAAAAATTAAGATTTCCAACAAAACTCATTAACATCTCTCATTTTCATAACACACGTTTAGGTAATGTTTGGTTTCTCAGATATAGATCTACAACTCTTATTATTTTTGTTAGCATGGCCAACATTACAGACATTGGGAACTGAAATCAAGCAACAGGCAACTCTTGTCAACAGACAATTGGTCTGTGGAGATATGAAAGTTATGGCCAAACGGTGAGTCACTGCAAAAGTTTTCTGGAATAAGGATGTTCATGTGCAAAATCCTTGTTAGCTGCCTTTGCCACTAAAATAATGTGGAGGGAAAGATAGGTTGCACCTCCAAAACTGATTTTGTCAACTCTTTTCCCTAAAGCATTTTACAGAACAAGAATAAGGCTGAGATGAAGAAACCCACTAGCCCTGCATACATTCTTCAAAAGAGATGATTCATATCCCCTTGAGAATATACACAGAGCCTGCCTTTCTATCATTAAACCAGCTGCATCTTTTTTCATGTTTGTGCAGCTGCCTCATAAGATGTTCCATGGGTGCTTTTTTGCTTCTTTTAAAAGAATATCATGAAGCCTAAATACTACTACATCTTTAACTAATATTCTTAAATATTGAATCATCCAATTCCAAAATTTTTCTTGACCCCTATCCAGCCATTCCACTCCTACTGTTCTGCCTTTGGGCTTACAGTGTGTGATTTCTGTAGGTAATATTCCCTCAATCCAAGATTAAGTGCATGAAATATGAAATACTTTTTTATTTTTCTATATGAGTACCTTGACACAAGGACTGAGTGGATTAGTATGATCCATGCTTCAAATGAAACATAAAACATGTTCAATTTCAGAATTTACAAATTTTCCAATAAATATATTTCAATATAACACCTGCATATTAAATGTCTAAAAACGGCTCTTAAATATCATTTTAAAAACACACAATGATTTCCTGTAATATATTATCTTAAGCTCACCTTATCTCTCTCAACACCAGGTTCTCTATATATTGTCCACTTCTGTCCTTCATTACTATAGAGAATCCTATAAGCAGAGACATAATAATGGTACTCTGCTAAGGTGCTGCCAGTTGTAATGATACCTGTGAATCAGAAGGTCCCCTTTATCATAAACAAATATAAAATATAAATGTCTATGTCTGTCTGTCTGTGTGAATGGGTGGATGGATGAATGATAGATAGATAGACAGACAGACAGACACTGACTGACTCTGGAACATTCTAATCATATCTTCTATACAGTAGACAAAAAATACTTGCTCCTAATTCATAAATCATATGATAATGCAAACCTCAGAATAAGATGCATCTGTGTATGGGACCTTTCTGACTTTATCCAGAAAAGGTGAGGAGAGGTTAGCACAATTGCTTTTTAACATATATATTAACTCTCTGATAAAAAACCTTTCAGAGAGTTATTGTCCATGAGCCTAAACTGGCTTCAAATTACATTCCAGCAGTTTATGGCTAAAACAGTTGCCCAAAAATTATATGAGATTCAATTTAATCTGTTTAGGATCCATGGAGATAGAAATTCTTGGCTATCAGCCTATGCTGATAAATTTTATGTTTACTATTTTTTAAGGGATGCTAATTCTACATTCGTATTCCAGGTGGCCAAATATTTTCCTCAAATCATACAATTATGCAAAACTTTTAATTCATGATAATGAACTGCTGTACCAAAATATTTGTCTTTTCCTATTGTCAAGGCCAGTCCAAGACCTAAATGACGACATTTGATTTGATTTGGTGATATAGTTGGCTATGTTAAATCTTATAAATACTGCATCTAACATTCTGTCTTACTTTCTCTCAAATTAAATTCCATTTTAATAATAATACTATATATTTATTTTCTTCATTAAATAAATATTTCATATTTACTTACCTGTTATTCGCTGTTCTTTGTTTAGATCAATTTGCAACCACTGATACTCATCATTAGTAAAAGCTGCCCAAGAGTGTCCAGGTCTTTTCAACCTGGCTCTTTCTGGCTTCCAAGTGCTTGGTTGACCCAGCTGCTCAGGCCATTCTAAAAATGAGGATGCATTAATTTGTGAATCAGCAATTACTCCAGATTCCATTCCAAGGGTCCCATAGCAACCTAAACACAGAGAGAAATAAAAAGAGCAATCAGTAGATTAAATTCATAGAAAATGTATCTATTGGGTTGCACATTTTATAATTAATTACATTAAAAAGAAGATGGATTCTATGCCATTCTTGTTCATAACAAATATTAGAAAAAAAAAGTTAACAATTTCATGTAATCACAAGGCAATGTGTTTAGGCAATCAGTAATTCCTATAATAACTTTTTGCCCCAGTTTGAAATGACAATAAAAAGCTTAGAGGGGGAAATCAAAATGAAGGAGAAATATAGGGCTGAATAAAGTCTAGATGTCATTAAACACCAAGAGGCATGAAGGCTTACCACTGGTTTTAAAAGTGAAGAGACCTGAAGACAGAGGACCTCTGTGTAAAAACAAATAATATATCTGTATTTTACTATCAATGTATTTAAAGTTTTTCCTTAATTTCTGTCTATATATTTACTAAAATACTTCTCAAAAATGCACCATTTTTGCAATGTATCATTTTGCATTACTGTTTAGCAGATTATTGAACTTTTTTTTAAATAAGACCCACACTAAAAATCTTCACATTCAAAATAATACAAGGAAAAGCAGACTTCTAGATAAATGTGACATTTTTAAAAAAATATGGATAATCAGATTAGTCCACTTCCCATTGAGACCAAGTTTAGCAAGCTTCTCAGTGAAAAATTATTTTACTTGTGTACTTCCTTGAAGTCAAGATACTGGCAACATTTAATAACACCAGGAAAACTAAAACAAAGATGTAAATTCCTTGCAATCCATGATTCAAAATATTTCTAATAGACCCTTCAGTCCCTGAAATATACTGAATTTCTTCCATATTTTATTTCTATTTCTTAAAAATACAATCCTCCTTACAAAAGGATGCTAAGATGCTTCATAATTCATTGTTTTAAAAGTTAAAAGTATGTATTAGTCAACATTTAGACAACTAGTCATATGCTATCGATCAATGGCATCAATTTCATGAAAAACATATTCTGATACAATCTTTTATTTGATACCTAGTCTATTCTTTACAATAATTTGTAAAAATATTTAAAATACTACTCTGGGTTTAATGTTTCAGAGTTTAAATTTATATGCATGTCAAATTCTAACAATACTGAAATGCGATGACTTTTAAGAAAATATATACTTACACTTTTGATGTAACATTGTTAGCCAGAGAGCTTTCATAGTATGGAATACCTTTGCTGATTACAACATTAATTTGACCTCCAAGAACATTGGATACCACTCCTGCATGTACACCAGCCATGCAAAGGGAAGATGACTTGGAAAAAAGATGGATTTGAAATCATGCATTAATTCACAGTATTTCAACCATTTTTGGTAAAGTATTACTAATATTGAGTCATGTTCAGACTGTTTGGAACCTGTGAAGTTGATGATTTCTGGCAAACTGGTTCATTCTGACTGCTATAAAATCCACTGATGTTTTATGTGATTTGTATTTTGATTTTAAATGTTGTTAACCACCTGGATCCAATATGGTGAAATGGATGGTTATATAAATTAACTAAATAATCTAAAAATCACAATGAATGTTACTTACATCTCTATAGCCATGAGGAATAGTCCCATAAATTTCAGCAAAGGGAAGCACACAACCAGCTGGACAATATTTGCTAACGGAAAAAACCAGGTATTGTCATAATATGCAACCAATATCCTCTGTACTGAATTTTTTAAATAATCAATAAACCTCATTAAGCAAATATAGTCATTCAAACAAATCAAGTCGGAAGATTTAAATACATTTTCAAGAGGGAAAACATATTTTCATGAACAATTTACAATAATAAACCACAGTACACGATTTGGCAAATAATTGGTCTGAAAATATTTTGAACACAACATTGGAATTAAGCCTTATCATTTAATGATATATTAATGACAAGACAAATAAATAATACGTATTATAAAACAAATAAAGTAATTAATAAAAGTTAAATACTTATTTCTGGGAAGAGTTACGCATTGTAAAAGTATTTCATTCTGATTATTACAAACAATAAACTAACATGAAAAACCATTGCATATTTATTGTTATGACTTAAGAGCTGTGTTGTATTACATTAATAATGGCATTATAAACCTAAGTTTCTATTATAAAAGGACTTAGAGCAGTTAATTGGTTAATAGTGCAATCCTGTTTAAATTTATTTTGAACACAACAGTTCATTTACTTTCAGATCAGTAGAAAGGACTGCAGTTAAAAACTTTGTTTAGAATTTTAGAGTTTTAAGTTTTTTAAAATCATGATGAACCATAATAATAAATCTTGCCCTTAACCATAACAAACTGAAATACTTAAGTACTACTTCAGAAACAGATATTATATATTGTGTTTTCCCAAAAGTAAGGCCTACCCCGAAAATAAGCTCCAGGTTGATTTTTGGGGTGGGCCTAATATAAGCCCTACCCCAAAATTAAGCCCTAGTTTTGGGGCGAGGTGCACGCCTAAAAATCAAGCTAGGGCGGAGTAGGGGGTGCAGGCCGGAATGCAGCTGCAGAATGAAGGTGCTCCTTTGTCCGCAGAAGAAGAGGGCCTGCTGGGCGGGGCTGTCAGTGCCAGAGATGAGTATAAAAGACACCCCCTTATTCTGGGGGAATCATGTTAAATATAGCAATAAGATATATACAGAAATGTCCCACTGTATTGAATAAAATTATTTTCAGTCAACTGTAGTCAAAGTCTATTCACACATGAGCATAACTATTTTCTCTTCCAATGAAATATTTTGTTCAAACAAGAGAAAAAGTAGCTAGTTCACAAGTGATCTGATCCTAATTTCTTGTCAGAACATTAAAAAAATCTTTACCTGAATTCTGGCTCAGAAAAGTGACTTGCAGTATCTAAACATGTTATTAAATCTAGGAAAAATTATAACAAAAAGAAAAATTATGAAAGAACAAAACATTTTTAAAGAGTGAAATGTTTTAAAACTCTGAATTAAAAACTAGTGAATCATTAATCATTTTAATGCATCCTACTTATTTTTATTTCCACTGAATAAACTATGATTTCAGGGAACTACTGCCATTCATTCTTAGCTATAATGTGCTACAAGGGATACAATTAGGATTAGACAGTTTGTTTCTATCAGCTGATCTGAATCAATCTCTGTTGATTGATTCCAAAACAAATCTAGCAGAACCGAGATGTATCAGCAAAAAAGCCAAAAAGAGGACCAGCACACATAATACATAGGATAAGCTAAGTTATATCTTGCCCAAACATCAGTCAAAGTAAGGAAATGCTAATAATAGTTGATATGGCAATTGAGAAGAGCCTGTAATGATTACCAGCACACTAAATGCAATAGAAATTCCAAATAATTATTCTTATCCATAAAATCTTTCAGGATTAGGTTTCATGTCAGCAGGAATAACGAAGTCAGAGTTTATGTTATGATGCCATGAAACATCTATTAACTGTGGTTCTCCCGTGACTTGAAGTGAATTTCAGTCATTTGGTTGTTAAATTTAGAGCTCTATATATGAAAACTAAAGGCAATTACTAACCAATAAATCAATGAGAAACCGCTGAGAGTTGTGTATTATTGGGGTAGCCCAAAGGGAGTTAACTGAATTTCAAATGATTTTCAGGTTAGTTTAGACTTCAGGCAATAATGATCTATCTGCAGCTAGAGAAGTGGAAGATAATAGGGAAACCTGACTGAAGAGTAGAAAAATATGCTGTTTCCACAGATTATCCCTAAAGAATGTTATCCTCAATCCTAACCTTTAAAAAATGTGTTCCTGCTGTAACAAAAACACTTCATGTCAAGCCATCAACTCTATGACTATCTGGCCAGGAATGTGCAATGTTGCTACAAAATAGAACAATTTATTTTAATCACCTTGGATTAATGTATTCTAGTCATATCTTTTGTGTATTTTAAGCTTAATATCTTTAGTTCATCCTGTCTAGATGTGATTTTATAAATGTCTTTGCTTAATTTTTTTAAACATTATTTATCAGAAACTGGGTAACAAGAAATTACCTATTATGCTAAGATTATTAATTATTAAACAGAAATAGATATGTAGTCTGCTAAAATATGGCTAAATTAGTTACTATACCTGGTTTATCTATTGTTGAATATGAAGCAAGAAACCCATGTCCATAAAAATGAATGTCACTCATGAACTGTACTGTAATTTCATTACTCTTTGATTCATTTAATTTGTCCACCTGAAGGCCCAAACCACAGTATTTCCCTAGAATAGAAACAATAGAGATACTTAACACATATGTAAATGTAGTATTAAACTTCTCACCATTTAGTAGACCTATGTGTTTAATCTACACTAAATATAGCAGCTGCACAAGTTTAACAATAACGAAATACAAAATGAACAAGATGTTTTCTTTTTCTCTCAAGGCAGGTTTTTGAGAATCTCTTAGAAATGCAGAGGTACCAAAGACTTAGAGAGGGATAATTTTTTCAACATGTCCAAGCCTGCTGTTATTTAGTATCAAACCACTTACGATTTAATCATTTTATCAAATATATTGTTTAGTCTTTTCAAAGACTGATCTCCTCATCTGGGAATCCTTTCCAAGCTAGGAAGAGAAATAGAGTGATTTTCCTAAATGTGTGTATATATACTGTGTGTGTGTGTGTGTGTGTTGTATTTGCATCATTAATTTTAATAAGGATTCTATGAATTTATTCCAAAGAACTTGTCATAATGAAACTTCCTATAAAAGGAAATGAAACATACTTTCAGTGCAGTTTCAGTATAACTTTCCTTAAGATTCAGCAGTTATCTCCCCTTTACTTTTAACTCCCCTTACTTAAATCATAATATATGCTAAATATGTACATCATTTGCCAATATAGCAAGTGATTACCAATGAATTTTATTTAAAAACTTCAAGAAACGAGTGCTGCCAATTTTAATGTGACCTTAATATTTCTAAGCAAGATAAGAAAAGCATGTAAAATATGGCTTATGAAATTCATTTATCATCTGATCTGATTGATTTTCAAGCTTGATCACTCTTTTGCTTGAGTTTTTTTCCAAATACCAAATTTAGTCTCGTTCTATTCAGTTTTAGATATTTTTCATACTGCTGGACATGTAGATGGATAAAATCTATGCTCCCTTATATTATTTCTTTTTATAATTCCATTGAGTTATCAAAACTAAAAATTCATTTTAGCAGACTATCTTTTACATAATCATACTAAAATAAGCTGTACATAAAGAGAATAAAAGTAGAGAATTATTTGGTCCAGTGAACTCTACTTGTAAATCAAGATTGAAAGATCTTTGCCATCTAAGGAACTCAAGTTTTGCTTTTTGCTTTAGAGAAAATCACTTTTCATATAACACTGAAGAAGTATAAACTTGCTATATGTATTTTTATGACAGATACTTTATACCGAGTAATGAATCAAAACAGTGCTCTACTCAATACATATGTCTTTTTAAATGATTTTTATTGAAATAAACAATCAATATAATTATTAAAAGTGCAGAATGTATAAATGAAAATAAAATAAAAATAAGCATAGAAATAAACTTCAGGGAATATGTAATTTTAAAAAAACATATGAATATGTTAAACATTCATTTGTACAAGGCTAATCAGGAAAAAGGACAGTGTAGTGAAGAAATATTACAATAAAGCCCTTTGTCTGTGGCTTTTCAAAGCCTGTTCAACTTTGTGTTATCACAAAATCAGGTAACATTTTGCTTTGCTTATACCAAATTATTTACAGAAATTGGGCACAGAAAAAAGAAAAAAATCATAAGAAACATTTTTCTACTCTCAAGTATATATAAACATTACATGTTAACACTAGAGATAAAATATGTCCTTACCTATCTCTGTTCTTGTAGGTCCAATTCCATTATAAATCCTCACATAATTAAAATGACAAGAATCTGAATCATCAATATCAAAATCCCCAAATTTGAGCTGAACTCTCTGTTCAGGCTTTACTCGAATTTCCCATTCACACACTGTGCTATTGGGATAGGATCGTGGATAATTAATTGATGTAAATGTTCCACTTTCAGGACCTAAGACAGTATATCCACATCCATCACCTGCAAAACAAAAATTCATCTGTAAGGTTGCTTTCCTCACACTTAGAAGAATGTGTGCCTGCTCTTCAAGGGTAGACTACAAAATAAATGTTATATGTTAGTGTTTCATAATTATAGATTTAGTTATAACCTTTCGGATCTAGCTAACACATGCTAAATCTAATCTTGATTTCTTTATTAATGTGAAATCTGCACCCTACAATGAGAAAGATCTTCTGACAGATTTTATATATGCATATAATTAAAGTAAAATCAATATTATAGTAACTTTGATGATCACAGCCCACATTTGAAGGCAGGCTTACAAAAAGCTCTTTAGAAAAAATCAGAATTCCTTAGAATCTAAAAGTTAAAGACACCAACCTCTTTTAAGCAGGCCTTGAACAAAGAGTGCTTTAGAATGGTTTCAGCTATCTTTGTTATGATAATGGATAGTGAATGGTTATTGTATGTGCTTAACTTAATAATACAGTATGTCTGGGGGAAAATATTGAGAAAGGGGCAACTGTAATATCTAAAATTTCCCTTTACTATTTTAGAATCTTTTATCTGAACTGTGCATTTGTTGAATAGAAAATCACAGCCTGGATTATGGTTCCATATTCATGAATAGCTTTTCTTGGCCTCCTGTTATAATTCAGTTCCTTATAACATCACAGTAAAGAATATGAGCAAGTAATTATGAAAAAGATACCCAGCACTGGGTCTGATTTGAATAAGCGGGTTGTGCCTCTGCTACTGAGAAGAACCATATGTCAATTTCATGACAGGGGAATTTTAAACTCTCATTCCCAAAGAATGCATAAAATATCAGTCAAACATAACACTGATTTTACTTTCATCAAAAACCTATTAAATATTTTTTTAAAAAAATAATTTTCTAAAAAAGGACTGTATTGTTTTACTAAATCTGAGATCGCAAAGAATTCTTTGCATATTTTTTTTTACTGTTAATGCAAAACAGATGAGGGAACAACACAGATATCCCTCATTCACTCCCGTGGACTTTAAGACATTATTTGCAAATGTATTTGAATAAAAAGGACATACAGTATAACTCTACCTTATTTTAAAGCAAACCATTTGAAATCTTCATAATGTCTGAGAGCATAAATCAATTGTGGCCTCTCTGCTTTGTTCAGTAATTTCCAACATCTTCAGCTAGTACAAATAGCATTGAGAGGTAACAGGAGTAACAGTTTAGAGACTGCCACAAGTTTCCACCCTTACTTTATATGATATCCTACATATTGTATTACATACTACTGAAGGTTTAGAACTGACGGAAACATTCAGTATTCAACAGAACAATGTATTCATCCATGGAACTAACCAAGATCCAAAAAAACGGGACTTTGTTAAGAGAAAGCAGGACCAGAAGTCAGGAAGTGGTATTGCTTGGATGCTGTATTGCCCTAGCACACTCACTGCACTGTTATCTGCCAACTTTTGCAACCTGCCTTGTGGGAAGATTATGCTATCTCTATGCATACAGACACAAAAACTGATGCAATAAAAGAATGGTAGTTAATATTTTTAATACTGAGTAAGTACCTCAGAATCTGTATGTCCTTCCATATTAAAATATATTTATCTCAAAAGTAAAAAAATAATCTTGTTTTTGAAATTTAGAAACCCTCCTCCTGCTTACAAAATTAATCACTAATTTATTATAATATTAATATATTTTGGAAGGAACTAATATATTTGTATGCAGTATCTTGGAACATATAAAGAAGAATGGCAGTTAAATATGTTTATGCTCAGCAAGATTTGTAATTTAATTCATGTAATTGGTATTTTTATCAGTTCTAGTGACTCAAATTACCTAATAAGTTTTGTATTCACAAGTGAAACACTTCTTTAAATCCAGAACATGTTCTGGAGAGTATATCTAACTTTCTAACTATACATGGTCTTCTCGGAGTCTTCTGGACACAACATTTGTGTTGGAATAATGATAGATAGATAGATAGATAGATAGATAGATAGATAGATAGATAGATAGATAGATAGATAGATAGATAGATAGATAGATAGATGAGAGAGATAGATAGATAGATAGATAGATAGATGAGAGAGAGAGAGAGAGAGAGAGAGAGAGAGAGAGAGAGAGAGAGAGAGAGAGAGAGAGGTGGGATTCAGCCAGTTCACACCAGTTTGGTAGAACCGGTAGCTAATTTTTTGTTGCCCAGGCCCAGAATGGACTTCCGGAAGCAGCATCCACAAAGAGAACTGGTTGTTCACATATTTGAATCCCACCACTGGAGATAGATAGATGGATGGATGGATGGATGGATGGATGGATGGATGGATGGATGGATGGATGGATGGATGGATGGATGGATGGACGGACGGACGGACGGACGGACGGACCTGTATTCTCTTAATGTTAAGATTAGATAAGAAAAAAAGAACCCTAAATTGTAAAAAAAATCTTAAGGAAGATATTGTGCAATATGTTAGCAGTATAGAAATAAAATACATGGTAAAATCTACCAATCCAATAAAAGACAACATATGTAGGTCCAGATTGAACTGTTGAATCCTTGGTGTTCTCTGACCTTAGTTTGTTTGCAGATGTTTCATTACCCAACTAGGAACATAATCAGTGAGACTAAATGTAGAGCTTGCTCCCTGATTATATATACCTAGCAGCTTCTAATAATATAAAATATTAGTATCCTACAAATTCACCAAAGATTTATGGACCAAATATAGAAATGCTAATCATTTATATCATAATCAGTTGTTCGTGCACATTCAAAGCTTCTGTATAAAACTTGGCTAGATTATCTGTAATAAGGCTTTTTTTATTTGATGGGAGAAAATTAGAAAACTCCTCAGAGACACCTGGGACATATAAGAACAAAACAAATGAGTCTTCTTCAGTATCATTATACAGTAATATAGTAGAATAGGGAAAATGGATTCCATTTAACTATCACAACAAGAGCAAGTTCCCATATAAAAGGGATGAAAGCAGCTGACTCTGAAGAAAAACTTTGTTGAAATGGAGGGATCTGTAGTCAATGAAATTAGCTACTTTCCACTGGGGTAATTAAACCATTATTGGTAGATTTTAGCATGAGGACTCAATATTTATTTAATATCATCCTTTGATAATTCTCTTAGTTTGACTACATTTGAGGAAACGTAGGAAATCAAGGGAGATAGTTGTATCTACACAGGGCTAATGTTTAGGTAATTGTGGAAAATCTGAATTTATGCAGTTATTTATCCCTACAATAATGCAAGGCAAAATAGACTATGCATATTGACTGTTGTCATTTTACAGTAGACTTTACATTGTAAATAGTTATAACACTTCAGCAGATGTAATAAAACAGAATTGTTGACTTTAGAACTCATCACATATTTTATCATTAAAAACTAAACAAGATGAACAAAACATTTTTTGTGAAAAACGAATTCTGCATTATAAACACTTTTGTATATATGCAATGGCTGTATTCTGAAATGGATCCAGGCCCAAATGGCACAGAATGTGAATGTTTTAACTGAGCTGAGATAGAACTGCAGTTTCTAAATGTCCCTGATCCTGATTCCAAACCGTTTGTAGTCTCTTCCTTTTGACAAGTTTGGAAATTTATTATGCCAGCAGTGCCATATGTCAAAGTGGAAAAAAAGATGTTTAAAAACTTTTGGCACTTAGCTAAGAAAACAACTTCACAAAGAAGAAAAAGAAGGTATCTTACATTCAGAGACCAAACCACATTCCTCAAATCAAAGTAACCTAACAGTTAATTGCCCTAATTGCAGTCTGCGAAATGAATGTTAAATCTAGGGATGCTGTGGTGAGGTGAAGAGAAGGACAAATGTATATGTTTTCTGGCACTCATTCTGTTTGAAACAATGTGAGAGCATCTTTTTTTCCCTTTAAAATCCACACTCCTATTCTGAATGAGCCTCCTCTTTGTTTTTCCAATTCTTGATTCTTTAATTCCATCCCATCATTTCACATACTGTAATCCTTTCCTTTCAAGTCTTTTACTTTACATTGTTTAAAACTATACTGTTTAAAGCCAACGGTTTTTTTTAAGTGCAAACAATATTTTATCTTTGCAAGCAGTATCTCTGCTTCTGCCCTTATTTGGCCTGATAGATGTATTTGTATTTTAGGTAGTGCTAATGTATTACAAAAATTATGGGTGGAAAGAGAGGTTCATTCACTTGAGCAATGCTACTGTAGAATAGGCTCCTCATACACATACTATTTCCAAAAGATTGTATAATTTGAAATCCTCAACATTTCTAAAAAAAATAATGCATTTCAACTAAATTTTATGTTTATTTTCTTGTTGGTAAAACCTCTATGGTCAGAGACAGAATGATCCTAAGTAGTTTACAAAGTCCAGCAATACAATTCAAAAATAAGCATATTAAACAACACAGTTCAAAATTATCCACTTCCAATTACACACACCTTTTCTTCATCAGGTAGACTAAATGTTCTCATTATTCCTAAACATCAATTGGATTGCAGTTTGTAAAATAGACTTATTGGCTGGCATCATGCCTTCAGTGCTTCTTGAATGTACCCCGTTCTGCTTACTTTTTCAGAACTAGGGAAACTTTTGAACTGGGCTACACTACTAGTCTTCAGAGCACTAGGTCTTGTTTATTTTTGCGGCAATAAATTAATAGGGGATGTTCTGGAGATGACAGTGTATTTTTTCCCACTATAGGTTTGGGTTTGTTTGGGTTGGGTTTTTTTTGGGGGGGGGGGCCTATTCGGGATACACTTAATTCTTTCACGACTTCTTTTAAAAAGAAAAAAGAAAAAGCAAGCACTTCTTTCAGGCGGACGTTCAGCTTAATCATGCAACGAGCGCTGCCTGAGATGAAACTTTTTTCTTCGGGGCGAAAAGTTGCGAAAACTCTCTGGGTTTTTAGGGCAGAGAGAGAAACGGTACCCCGGACTATAAAACCCTCGTTACATTTTCCTATAGATTGTATCGTCGATTAAAAATAAGTTGTACGAACTCAAAAGACTGGAGTTCAACTGAAAACGATCATTCTACGTTTCTTTACTAGTCCAAATTAGGAGCCTGGGAAGGGCGTTCAAAGTTTGCAGAACTTCAGGAGGGGATGGAAGAAGCTCGCTACAGATGCACACAACTGGGTTTATGGGAGGAGCGTCTCTGGATTACGCTGCCCCACCTTTCCCCCCTCCCTTTTCCCCTTCCCCACGTATTAAATGACATCCGAGGCGAAGGGAGAGGGCGATGCTCCTCCTGGGTGCGCTCCGGGCGAGCGTCCAGGCACAATGGCGGGAAGACTTTTCCTGCCTTAGCTACCGGGTCTCCACCTACCTTTCTGAGCAACCGCGTCCCGTCTGAGCAGCAGGAGCAACAGCAGGGAGAGAACCGCCGGCCGGGGTCCCGGGGGGAGGAGGAGGAGGAGGAGGCGCTCGCGGCCGCTCACCATTTCCCGCGTCTCCTGCACAGCAGCCGGTTGTCCGAATGCATCCCGAGCCGAACGACTGCGCGTCTCCGGCCGCCGCTCGTGGATCCGGCCGCCGCCCCCTCCCCTTCCTTTCCTTCCCCCCACCCACCGCTGGCTCCCGCCGCCCCCCCGGTAGCCTCAACCACTTCCGGGTCTGTCGGCTGCCCGGCTACAGCGGCAGCCGCCCCCTTCCGTGCCTCCTGCAGAAGAGGGTCTCCGGGGCTAGTCTTCGGAGCCTTCTCGGTGGCCTGGCTGAGTTGCGGCTGGCGCTGTAGGCAAGGAGACGGAGGGGGTCCCGGGTGGAGAAAGCGGCAACCACGCGCTTGGGGTGGGAGGCACGGGGGGGGCAGTTTAACAGCCAGATGTTGTGTGGGGCAGACTCAGGCCTTTCTAAAGGGCTCCAGTGGGTGAATCGAATGGAGATCTCTAGTATCGCCGTTTAAAGCCTTTGCCCCTTGCAACTGGAAGGAATGGCCAACTCTCAACCCTGTTGGACAATCCTAAAGAAAGTAGGAAAGCCCCAACAGTCACCCGAATTTGCCCTCTAAACAAATGTACCCATTCTCAGGATGTCTATCTAATTCAGGGGTAGTCAACCTTGGCTCTTTTATGACTCGTGGACTTCAATTCCCAGAATTCCTGAGCCAGTTGTGCTGGCTCAGGAATTCTGGGAGTTGAAGTCCACGAGTCATAAAAGAGCCAAGGTTGACTACCCCGATCTAATTTATGTAGCCTTTAGATTAGTATTTTATAAATGCAGCAAAACCAAACGACAACCCTCAAATCAAATTCACAGACGTCCAGGTAGTTTCCTCAAAGAGATCTGCTGAAACAAGCATTTGTTGGAAGAACAAATTAAGGAGTGCTAGCAAGTCTGGTAAATGTATGTGGGTTTTGTTTTGGGGTTTTTTTTCTTCAGAATAAAGAACTCTGCTATCTAATTTGATCTCAATCAGAAAGATTTATTTTAGAGAACATAAGCTTAAGATGCAGTCCTGTTCAGGTTAAAATTCACTGTGTCCCATCTTCCTCCCCACACAAAACTTTCTAGAACCACTGCTGTTTATTGCTCCAGGTATTCAGAAGAAAAAATGTTATGATCTCAGGACATAGAATGGCAAGAAAGCATCCTTTTACTTGCAAGCAAGGAGATGTAATAGCACTTTCACATAATAATTTCTATTAAGTTTTTACGGTAAAACCTCTGACATTGAAAATAGATTTGAAATTAAATTGTGTGAGTGAAATTAAATTTCAAAATTTGCCTTTCTGTAAGCATAAAAAGAATAACAAAAGTTTCCTTCTTGTTGGTCAGTGCTTTCTCTTTGTTACAAAGATTAGCAGAAAGCCATCTGTTCCAGGGTTAATAATTGTGAAACAGCTACTGCCCATTTTCCATATTCCCAATCATTAGGATTTAGAATTCACACAAAACCATGAACTGAAAGGAAATATGGAGAAAATTCACCTTGTATGTTAATGAAATTAAATTATACTAAATTATTTTAAGGTTTTCCCCCCAATATTTTTAAGTACACATACAACAGTAAAACTAATGGCTACCTCTGTTTAACACATATTATAAACAAGGTAGTTTCAGAAGCAATTTCATGCATTTTGCATGAATAATCTTATAATTAATGCTTGTATGAAGTATTAGCATGTTTCTTTGAGTATTTTAAATGAATTAGGAATTTATATACTGTAGGATATCTCTTATCAATAGATCTATCTCAGCTGAAGCATGATCAGAAATGTTATATTTTTTGTAGATGGACTCCTATTGATTTCCTATATGTGGAAACTCATTCCTCTTCAGCATAAATCTTTTTTATCTGATCAATGAAAATCTAAGTTCCATGAACATGTATTATACCCACACATCATTTCATTTATTTCATTTCATTTATTATATTTTTACCCCGCCCTTCTCCTTGCGGACTCATTTACTTCATTTTATTTATACATCCTACATTTTCCAACCCTGTAATCTCACCCTTGGGTCTAATATACTGACAAGATACATCAGATAGTAAGGTACATCAGATAGGGCTTTTAAAGTTTTTTTTTTTATCAGCATTAGTAGAATTTGACAGGCAACATAGTAATATCGGGACACTTGTAATTTTTGCACTAGATCCTGTGCTAGTTAACAGTCTAACACAATATTTTGCACAAATTGCAAAGTATGGACTTTTTTCTGGTCAAGGAAGGCATGCAAAAAGTGCATTGAAAAAGTCTGCATGGGTTGTAAAAAAGTTGAGGCTAACTGTGCTAAGTTTGAGCAGTTCAAGAAATGTTGCAGATGGGGCACTAGACATAACTGGGAAAGTGCGCTTAAACCGTATAAGTGACACAGTAGAATCTTGGACACCATGAAAGGATCTAGAATTTAGACCTCTGGAGAAAGAAATGGCAAAAAACAGTGCCGACACCTGCAGCAGAATGACGTCCAGGTGAACAGACTGGCTGTTCAAAACCTTTCCGGACAAGGGAAAGACTTGAGATCACCCAAAAGTGTTCCTGACAGCTGCTCCTGCAGGAGACTGCAAGATAGCAGTCTCCAACAAGTTTAGAGTTTGGGAAATGAGGGAATAGCTATCTTGTTCAAACCATGATAGTGTCTTAAAAGGACACTAAGTTTGCATACTTCCTTTCAAAACTACTTGTTAACTGCTTTTCAGCTGTTAGATACCTTTGGAGGGTGGGTTTGACAGCATTGGGTGAGTTTTCTTCAACCCTTAGTAAAAAAAATTAATATCAAGAAAGACATCTGCCTGGTTTTATATATGTCAAGGGAAGCAAGACTATTGTATACACAAAAATGGAAGGACATTTCGATTCCTACTATGGATGAATGGCTACAGAAGTTGATGGAGTTGGCTAAATTGACTGTTTTGATTAAAGAAAAGAACATAAGTACTTTTGTTTCCACATGTTTATGTTTATGTTTATTTAGATTTGTATACCGCCCTATCTCCCTTATGGGACTCAGGGCGGTGAACAGGTGATAATAAAAATCACAATAAATATCTATTCTAAAATCAAATTAAATAAATAAAGGCCTGCTCTAAAATATCACTTCTAGATTTTGTGCTTGAGGTGGAAAAACTTTGAAACTTTGATTTTGGGATTTACTGATTATATTGTTGTAGAAATGGCTAGTTTATACTACTTTGGAAAAGTAAAAAGTGGAGGTTTTATATTAATGCTTTATTCTACTGCAACAAAGGAAGTTGGAAGTCAATGTTCTTCTTTCTTCCTTCCTTCCTCCCCCTCACTTCTTTTTCCCTTTTCCTTCCCCACTGGGTCCTACTATCTGTTTTTTTGTTTTGTATTTTGTATTTTATTTTATAATAAAAATTTATAATGTAATAAAATGTTATCATAAAAAAGAGAGACATCTGTCTGTACGGAGAGACCATATCTAAAGATGTTATGTGTTTAGCATATGGCAAAAATATTAAAAAGCACATCACAATTACATTCTCAAGCAAATATAAAACTATTTACAAATTCAAAGGTAGACTATATAGTCAATATATGATGGAGTTGCATACAGAAAGTCTCTTGGCTTTCCCTTATATGCACTCGAAGGGTATGTCTATGGAGATTTTCAGTAATCCAGGTCATGGTTATCTCAAAGGTTCTTTTTCAAGAGGCAACTGGACTTTCTTATTTTTCTTTGAAGACGTTTTGCTTCTCATCCAAGAAGCTTCTTCAGCTCTGAAATGAAGAGGCTTCTTGGATGAGAAGCAAAACGTCTTTAGAGAAAAATTAGAAAATCTAGTTTCCTCTTGAAAAAGCACCTTTGAGGCTTTCACAAAAAGTCGCACTGTCTGCTTTGGAGCATCACAGCTACATTCCGAAGAGGAGAGCTTTCCCCATTTATGGAGGAAATTAGCACATCTGCCATGTTGAGTCATAATTCTATTGAGGATTGACCAGGTCTTACAGGATAGATTAAATCCTTTTGGTTTAGCTGTAAAGCAGGGAATGTTGTGACATTCTAGAGGAGCAATAAAGAACCATTCTTGCATCCAGGCCTAAAGCAGATTGATTTTTTTATATATACAAGTTTCTGGCTGTCCTAATAGGTGGATGCCTGAGGCAAAGCTGTTGTTTACAGCATCAGTGATATGGGAGTAGTTCTTGTGCCCGATATGATGCGTATAGTGTGATTCAGTTGTGTGTCTATCAGTCTGGTATGGCTACTGTTGTTGAAAAGAAAAGGAACAAATTTTACCTGGCAAGTTCAAGACTGAATTGAAAGTGAATTTACAAATGATAGGCTACAAGAATGACATGGAAAAATATACTACACTGGACATTCAAAAGAAACTGGATATTGTATTAACAATAGAAAGAGATACATATAAATAATAAGACGAGAGTGACTTGGATAATATTCTTATAATGTATTTACAAAAAAGACTTGTTAAAATGTTGAAGAATCTCATTAAAAGGGACAAGAAAAAAAATGGAAAGGTAACCAAGTCCTAAGACTTTATTTGAATGGACTATAGATTAAAATTGTTATAAGTAAAGGAAGGAATACAAAACTGGTTCATTTTATCAAGGTTAAAAAATATATGTTGTTATTTCTGGTAAACCTTAATGGATTTTTGCTGAAACAGAACTTGAAATGATGGTGCTTTATGTATTTCTTTATAGATAAGAGAGACTATGAGGTCATTTTTTTCATAATCACCATTCCCTATAATGAAAGAGTTGGATCTGGCTTATGGTTACAGAGGCCTTACTGGGAGAACTTTTTGAATACATCTGTCATTACTGCTTTTTTTAAGCATGCATAAACACCTTTTTCAGCCAAGGAGACATTAATTGCTTCCCTTAATCTTAGCACCAGACCAAATCTAGCTTTATTAATCAGCAAGAGATAAGCAAGCACATGGTGGCGCTTATTCTTCCATGTATCTTTTCCATGTCATCAAGATCTAAAAGCTGGAAATAAATCATAT